AATTAGGCATGTTTTAGACTCAATAGACCAGAATCCTTTTTATTTGCTAGAATTGTTTTAAATAGAGCCTTGAAGCAGTCTCATTTACAACAGCTAGAAAGGCAAATGGTGATCAAACTGGCACCTGCCATTTAAAAAAAATTGTAAATAGAAACTGAAAAGTGGTGTATTAAGATAACCATATCACATGCGGGCACCTGTTTAGAACAACAGGTGAAATGTGCAGGAGGAATAGTGGATAATTTTTTTAAATCACTCAAGTAATTTATAAGCCCCGGTTTTAAAAAAGGCCTAAACACTTTGTAGCCTATGTGCTAGCACAGCACTTCCCCCTATGCTATTTAGCTTTGCTGAGAACAGGACTCAACAACTTCCAAACACTTTTTCCTTAAACTGCTGGCTTGCCCATGCCCTAAAAACACTTTTTAATCTGAAACTAGTAGCAGGCTTCTCCATTTCACTCCATTCTAGGATAGCAAAAGCTGAGGAGCCTGGCAAAAACTAAGCAAGGTCTGTGTGGCAAGGCAGACAGAGATGCACGCAGCCAATGGTGTGGCTTTTAATCCTGCTCCCCACAAGGAACTGTCTCACCTTTATTACAGCCCCCCTAGTACAGCCCGTCTAGTAGGTGCAGAGGTCTGTATTCACTTCATAGTGGGCACAGAACCTATTCTCACCTGCCCTACCTCTTACCAGTAAGAACTGCTACATCCTGAATGCTAGAAAAAAACAGCAAATTTTTATATAAAAGCTAAGGAAAAATAAGGTTAATTGCGTCAACAGGTCAAATAATTTTTAGTTCCTCTAGCACAGCTCCCTACCTCTCTTTTCTAGCACTGAATCTCTAAATGCATTTTCCTCTTTTGCATCAATTATAGCTTTTCTAAGCATAAGGGTATCTTGGGAATCAACTTTGTTTTACCTTCCTTCCAATTAGATTTTAGAGACAGACTGTGTTGTTACTAATTATATGTTCTCCCTGGTATGGTAATTCTTTCCTGATAACTGAAGCCCTAATCAAGGGGGAATTCTGCCTCTTTGGTTCCTACACCTTGTAATGCAGTTCAAAAGATCTCGGGAGGGAGGAAAAATCCTTATCAAATCTTCAAAGATACACACAAAATGACGCATCTAAACCAGTGGTGCTCAACCTTCTGGCCTCATGAGCCAGATGAGTGGGGCAGGGCCAGTCCATTGGCTGGGTTTAGCCCTGCCCCAAGAGAAGGCCGTAGGGCAGGGGCAGGCAATTATTTTAGGAAGAGGGCAGCTTACTAAGTTTCAGCAAGCCATCGAGGGCCACATGATAGGCAGCCCAGGACAGATTAATATTAATTTTTTAAATTTTTTAGGGCCCCCACGGGCCGGATAGAATGGCCCCTGGGCCACATTTTGCCCACCCCTGCCATAGGGCCTGGCACTGCCCCCTCCCTGCTTTGAGTGCTGGTTTTGGGACCTGGCACCAACCTCTCCCACCTCCATGCAACAGGACTGGTCCCTGGGGGCCTGGTACATATCCCTCCTGGCCCCGCATAGTATGGTGGGCCTTAGGACCCAACACCAACCCCTCCCAGCTCCCCACAAACTAGGATTGGGCTCTGGGGTCCAGCACTGCCCCTATGTGCTGGGATCAGGATCAGGCAACCAGACTCCATTTCCTGGCAGCCCCAGCACTGGCAGCTCCACAAGAGAGAGAGTACTATTGCCATTCATTAACTTTTATAACAGAACTAGCCAAAAATCCTCATTGTTAAATAATAACTTCAGAAATCATGATAAACCATAATGCCTGCTGTTGCTTTGTTAAGCATACACTAATGCTAGGACAAGTTAGTTTTGCATACCAATTTCTCTGCTGAATATTTTATCTTCCCCTGTTGTGCTTTTCAACTTTTGGTGTCCATTCCAAAGCTATTTTGGTCCAGCTGTTATCTGTGCTGCTGGTGATATGTTCTGCCTGCTGCCATCTGCTTCTCTTTTTCTTTACACGATTGTAAAGAATGCTTTCCTTCGTTGGTTTGCCCTCTGGCTCAATGTCTTGTCCAAAAAAATATTCTTCTTCTCTCTGTATCATCCCATTCCAACCTTTTTCAATCAGTGGCAATTTGTGATCACTGACACACCACATCTTTAGTTCAGAAGAAATTGTCTGTACTGTGGAGCTATCAAAGATTGTAGTTTTCTCACTTTATCATTTCCCCCTCTTTCTTTGAATTTTTTCCACTTCCCTCCCACTCTATCTACTCACATCTTCTTGGATACAAAGGAAGGTGGGGGCCATCAAATTCTTCACAATAGCTGTATACTCTATAGGTGTGTCTACATGTGCTATTAAGGCAAAGTAATAAATGCTTTAAAAGATGTTACACATGCATATAAGATTGTAGTAAACACTATATACAATATAAGAGTAGCATGTGAGTATAACATTTTATATTTATGCTTGGCAGAATTCAATTTTTTATTTTTTACAATCTCAATGGCTAAAATCTACGTTTATTTTTAAGCATTTATAGATTTTTTTATTGATTTGAATTTTCAAGATTGCACAGAATTTACAGGTGTGGGGGCAGACAATTTAGTATGTCAGTATACTGTTAAAAGCTTTATAAAAATCACGTTAAAATATGTAAAAGTAAATATCCATAAATCAATAAAGCATACCCTCTTTAAAATATTCTGTTAATTCACCAGGAAAGAAATGGGCAGACAGGGACTGCAAGAGGAGGGAAGCGGCACTCTGGAGCTCTGGGAACACGGGGAGGCAGCAACTGCCCAGCCTAGGGCGGGAAGCAGCTCCCTGAAGCACTTTAAGGGGTGAGCCCCTCCTGGTAGGCACCAGTGGAGGGGCAGCCTGGTTCCTTGACAGCTACTGGACAGCTATAGCCTCCTTGACAGCTTCCTTGACAGCTATAGCCTCCTTGCCTTGTGGGAAGCACAGGGGCAGTGGCTGGGCCCCTGGGGCACCTCCTGTCCTGGTCATGCGACTTCTCCCTGTGTTCCCAGAGCTCCTACCCAACCCAACCCCTGTGTGCTCAGGGCAAGGTGCGTGGGGGTGCCTCTGGGGCCCACCCACTGCTTCCATACTACCCAGAGGAGCAGGAGGCTGTGGCCGTTAAGGGGCCAGGCCACCCCTCCATTGGTGCCCACCAGACAGGGCTCACCCCTTAAAGGGTCACGGGGTACAAGGAGCTGCTTCTCACCCTGGGCTGGGCGGCTGCTGCCTCTTCCCATGTTTCCAGAACTCCTGCCCAGCCTGGCCCCTGTGCAATTGGGGCATGGACCAAACTCCTGCCAAGCCCAGCTCAGCCCAGCCCCTGCATGATCAGGGTAAGGGCCAATCTCAATCATGCAGGGGCTGGTCTGGACTAACCAGGAGTTTGTTACCTGATCCCCAGTTGGGACCTGGGCAGAGCAAGTGGTTAGCAGCACCAGGCTCCTGGCTGCCAAGAGCTCTGCCCCTCCTACCCCCTCTCCCAGCACAGACCTACCAGCACAACCCCCAGCTCCTGCGGCAGGGACCCAAGCTGCCGTGAGAGAGCAGTATGCAGGCAGTGCAGCCAGGGCTCCCCCCCAACCCTGCCTGCAGCAGCTGCCATGCATGTGTGTATGCATCGCCCCCTATCAGAGACTTCCTTACTCCTGTCCCAGGTTTTGGGGGTTTGCTTTTTTTTAACATCTTTCTATAAATGTTGATTATTACTGATGGAAGTATTTTCCATGATCTGTGAGAGATGGGTGAAATTGATGTTTATCTATGTTTCCCAATACAAATGGAATCCCACCAAGCTTATTTCTATTGTAACACATTCACAAAAAGGCAGTCAGCCATACTCACTTTGGCACCTCCAGACTTTCTATGATTTTAATGGTTGACTATAACTTTCTTTCAATGTTTATTGTATGTAGTTCACTTTTTTGATTGTAAAACAAAGCAATGATTTTAACGACCATTTGAAAAAACTTCCATTTGTTAATCAAACTAACGCATGTAGTTTATTCCTATAAATTCTATCATCTACCCTGCTAGAGTCTCCAAACTTCAAAATGGAAGAAATCAGATATCTCTTTCCAACATGAAAACCTGTGGTAGTTCTTCACAAATATAGCCTAACAAACTATTATAATTGCAAGCTGCTAATTAGCCATCTTTTAGCACAATTTCTGACTGCCATATCTGACTGCCAAGACATGCTCTTTCATAAGTAGTCAAAGGAAAGACTATATTGCTATTGATGCCTTGGAAGGGAGGCAGCAATAGCAGTAGCACTACTGGGAAGGGTCAGAGCATCTCTCTTCCTTCCCATCTCCTTTGGCTGCTTTAGAAGGGAGAAAAATCCTGGGAAAGAGGACAAAAGCTAACATTGAGGAAATCACAGCTGTACCACTTTTTTTGTTTTCACTTGTGCCCTTTGCTTCTTTTTCCTGACATTCACATTCAAATCTGTATGATTGTAGTCAACAATGACAGAGCTCTTGGCTATATAGCTCACTGGAGTGGAAGCTGCAACCAGAGCAAACAGTTGTGATACTCTCCAATCAGTTTAAAATACAAAAGCCAAGGAACTTTAAAGAGGCTTAACCAACATAAAACAAAACCAAGCAACAGCTCTAATGAACAGCATGAATCATTTAAAACTGTCTGTAAAACATGCAGCACTATTGACCATGGATTCATGGTTATAAATCCCAGCACTGTTTAGTAACCTCACAAATGCAGTTACAAACCTCAGTGTTTTGCAGCAACACCACCCGTACTAGTACTGAACAATTGCCTTACTGATGTTCCGATAAATCTAAGCACTCAGAAGTCACTTTCTTGTCATACAATTATAAAAAGTGCCACTGCCTTATGACATCCACCAATATTTAGCTGAAATGCTATTGATTTGAGTAAGCTGACTACAGTAATGCTAGATAGGAAGTGATTTTTTTTAACATGGACCAATACATCTATAAATTAGTGCACTCTTTTTAAAAATAAAAAAAGACGGAAAACTTACCGAGCTTAGTGGCTCCCTCTGGTGGATACTCAGGAAACTGACCCTCGGAAGGGACGCTTACTGTACGTCGAAGGCACCGCCCTTTTGCAGCTTCTACCTGCTGATCCTGTACCCCCTCGACAGACACCTACATAAAAGGACATACACAGTTTTAATTAGTTAGCTCTGCTACAGTTCTTTTAATTCCCAGTCTTGATGAGCCTAATTTTTCATTGACCTAGAACTATCATTCAGACAGGGACCAGCTGACCAGACTCTACCACAACGTTCTTCTAGAGAAGCTACCTTACTGAGGAGTGCAAATTTATGATAAAAGAAATGAGCAATCAGGAAATGCAAGCATACAAAAGGATCCATGTACAGCACACCGATCATATGCAGATGTGCATGCAGCAGTGCCAGAAAAGGCACCAAGCAACAACAACAAAAAAACCAACCCATGTGACTTCAAAGTAGTCTTGAACCTGGAAACTGGCTTCCCCATGACAGAGGACCAAGATCCATTGGCCTGCAGTACTATTTAGTACTTTCCACACAAAGTCAGGCAGAGGTTGCTAACTAGATCATTACACCCAAGACAGAGAGTACAAAAGCATTTTTCAGGCTCAGCACGGAACATTTTAACAATTATTAGCCATAGTCAGCATTCTCTGGCATATTTTGGAAGTATGACTCTGCTTTAAAAGCGCACAGATTACAACCCTCTCCGTGATGACATGGATAAATTCCATCTAGAGTTTGGCAGAGAGAGGGATTCGGCTGGGTATGCTTGTCATATCAGAGAAGTAGATTTAATATAAGGTTTTGGAATTACACTCTTCGCAAGAGTGGGCTGCACACAGAGAACGAAGAATAGGATAAAGCTTTTATTGAAGAAACCAGTCCTATTTTCTCCCCTCTAAAGACTAAAGAAATGGCTATCCAAATAAATTGCCACAATATAAGCTAGAGTAGGAAGTTACAGGGAGCTAGCTTTCCGCGTTAACTGCCCACGGGCAATCCATTTATCCTGCAGGCAGTATAGGACAGGCTGCCCCTCAATGACAACAGGGTAACCTTACCCTGTGGCACATGCTAGGTTAAGCACACACTTGGGAAGTTAAAGCAGAATAGCTAATGCATTGTAAACTCCACTCCCCTCCCCCCAGTTTACCTTGTGTTAACTTGCTCATGTAGCCCTACCCTGAGGAAAGCTGACCCATCTGTTTGAAATGTTGAGTACAGGAGACCTTATTATTTTTTTGAAATTCTGGCAGCAAGAAGCTTTTTGCTAGGTACTTGCATTTGGCCCCACAGGGGCCGGTTTTACTTGAAACACCTGGCTGGGCTGACTAAATTTTGCCAGACATGCTTGTGCTGGAACAAACTGATAAATTGAGCAACAAATCACCAGAGCTATAGGGTATTGACAAAAGCCCTGAAAGAGCCTAGGAATGAAGTGGCTGCACCACTAATAAAGACATACAGTCTTTGATATCAACTGTAACAGTGCATTGGAGACAAGATTCCAGGCTAGGATGGACCAATTTTTCCTGATTCAGTATGGCATACAAAGGGAAAGAGAAACTTTTGGTTGAAAAAAAGTATTACTGGTGTGAAGGAAACATGGAAATGCCTGTAATGAATATGATGAATATTATATATTACATCTGCCTGTCTCTTATAATTCTTTACCATATGATTATTGTTGGTTCATTCACGAATGGGTTAGTCTGCACGCCAACAAGAGAGGGAACAGGTAGGACAGATGCAGAGAATCAACTGCTTGGAAGTCTTATTGCTGACCCTTTTGCTCTCCCTTCCATGGGCTATATTAGTGATGTTAAAGATCTGCCCCACAGAGCCGTGTTATCTAGCCGATGGGGTGGCCCACAGGGCCAGATATTTGGTGGTGGGGCAAGTGGCAGCAGCATTAATTGCTGTGGCTCTTGGAATTGCAGCAGCCGCTGTCATTCACCTTCAAATTTCTGACCCCCAGGCAGTCCCATGGACTGGATCTGGAGCAAGGATCTGCCCCCGGAACAGAAGTTTGGTGATGAGATGAGCAGCGTCTGCCAAGGCTCCTAGAGCTGCAGTGATTAGCGTTGTTGCCTGTGGCTCACCACCACATTTCCAGCCCCACTGATAGAGCCACAGGCCAGATAATACGGCCCCATGGACCAGCCCTGTAATACTCATCACACCCTGTGGGCCAGAAGATTTTGACACCCCTGGGTTATATAATAATCCTGTTTAGTTTGAAGAGCCAGAGGGAAACAAAACAGCTGAAAGAACTGCCTCTGACGACAGGGGGAGAAACAAAGAACTTCAGGGAAGCAGAATGAATCCCAGTTCTCAAAACAGGCCTCACACTAAGCTTTAGAAAAGAAATGTGCTCAGACTTTTCTCTTAATTATCTTTTACTCTTTTGTTTTATGTATACTTGCTGCCAGGGAGATTCAATACTTTGTATGGAAAAGGAGTTTTACCATACTGTAGTTGCATACTGGCCACAGCTCCCAAAAGGAAAACATGTAGGACTGTAACCTGGTTAGGTTTGCTGAGAAACCATACTTGGTAAATAGGGGTTATATGCCAAACCCAGCCAGAATGATAAAATTTCAGGACTTCACCTAAAGTGACGTAAATGTCCTGTCACTTGGAGGGGTGCACTTGAGTCAAAGGCGCAGCACCTAGTTCTGAACCGTGACAGCTCGGTCCTCATCTGAGAGTAATTTCCTATTATAGCTAGACTGCTACCGACTCATGGTTGCTTACGCTTTTCTATTATAACCCATTATTTTTTACTGCTTCTGCATTTCCCAAAGATTTGCTGATTGTGAAGAAAATTTCCCCATCTAATGTCTCACTCAAGTTTGAGAAAACATTTGAAGTGTTATTGAGTACAAGGGGAAAAAAACCAAAATGATATAATGCAAAAGCTTGCGAGCTTGGATAAGAACTCTGCAGATTAAATGACTGTGGGTAGAAAGCTGAAGTTTAGCACGTCAATAGCCCCTTTTCATAGATAACCAAGTGCTCTAGTGAAAACTGGTCGAGGTTTGGCAAAATTACAAAACTTTTGAAAAATATGCATATTTCAGCCATGCACAGCAATTTTCATTGAACAACAGCGGCATTATGAACAATCTACAACATTTTGAACAAAGGTCCATATACACGTGCTAATTTCACTTGTATATTTGATATGCATGTCTCGGGGTGGGCACTGAGGAAGAGCTTTCAGGAGTCTTGTCCTATTCAATGAGATCTAATGAGCAGATTGTCTTTCACTGCAGAAAGCTCTGAGTGCCTATAGCGCACATTTTCCCATAACCTTGAAAATGTCATATATCCAGCACATGAAGGTTTCAATGGTGCAAGGTATCTACACTCACAGGTGTGATAAGGAGGGTTAGTGTCCTGGGCAAATCCAGCAGGAGAGCTGAGTGGGGAGGAGTAGGGAGAGTACTGAAAGGGTATAGGTGCCAAAGGGTAGGAGGGGAGGAGGGGAATCACGTATGCGCACAGGAGTCTTACCTGTGCTGGGAACTGAAAAATAGACCCCGGCTGCTGCAGTCATTGCCGCATGGTCTGTTTACTCCAGCTGTTATTACCTATGCAATATTAAGTATTCTCTTAAGGTCAATTTTTAAAATGCAGTTTGTTGTCATGCTTATCTGTGGTCTCCTCAAACACCACTCATTTTTCTAAACAAGTTTCCTATCTTTCTCATGGATATTCTGTTAAACCTATTTTGTTTGCTGGTGGGTTTTTAAAGCAGTCAATTTGCAGAATGAGGTTCATATGAGAAAGTATTAGGAAGCCAAGCAGACACTATTTTTTTTTGGTTTATGTTACACTCATTCAATCAAGTTTACAAATTAGATTTGCAGTTTTCATTTGGAGACTCCATTTAGGCATGTTTCCTACTGAATGCTCTTTAATTTCTTTTTATTAATCTCTCCCTCTGCCGGTTTTTTAGATCACTCTCACAGAATACTGCATGCAAGATCACCTAAGTATTCTCCATCTTTTTCTACTTAAACTCATCCTCAAGGTGCTCCTCTGTGGTCAGTATTTTTCCAACCAAAATAACATCTGCATATAAGTTTTAGTTCTCTGGCCAATATAGTTCCTTTGTGGGGAAGCTTCCTAAGAATAGATTGCTAATTACCCTGAGAAATGGATATGGTTCCTTTTCACTAAATGACTCCTGTACCCCCTTGGCCTATTCTGATATCAGATTCTATTGTCTGATAACTATTTTAACCTTTACAGGACTAAAACTGTAAGTATCAGCTGAAACTGACTCTGATATCAATTTAAGCTGATACTCTTACACATTCTGCCAGTGTTTCCCAAACTGGCTTACTAACAAAGTTCTACATGGCACACAATAGAAAGGAGGGGGAAAGCAAAAGCAAGAAATATAAAGGAAGGAAAAGAATGGGTGGGGGGAGAAACCAACTCTACAGACTTTTAGTTTGTTGGAAGGGTCAAACTGGTGTTGTAGTAACATGAATTAGGGGTGTGCGAAACAGGCCGTATTCAAATCGGATTCGGTCCAAATTGGGGACAGATTAGTTGATTCTGATCACTGTCCCTGATTTGACTGGGCCAAATCCAAACCAGAAGATTCAATGCTGATTTGCAGAATCAGCAATTCGGGCATAGACACAGCTTTAAATGTTTTTTCTACATACCTCAAGGTACCAGGTGTGGCTCGTGAATGCTTAGATGCTGGGGTGGAAAAAGTGTCTTACAGGAGTGCGCAGGGGACCCCTGCATGCTCAGCGGTGAACCTGGAAGTGGACCAGTAGTTCCAGTTCACTTCCGGGTTGGGTGTGCCAAGGGGCCCCCCACACCCCCTGGCTCAATGATTGGCTATGGGGGGACCCCACATGCCCCCCCAGACCTGGGAGGCACCAATCGCTGAGCCAGGGAGGCGGGGGGGGGGGGGGGGCGGGATGCCCCCGCACACTCCCCGGTGGACCTGGAAGTGGACCAGAAGTGCTTCCAGGTCTGTTGTTGAGCGCCCTGTGGAGTCCTTCGTGCTCCTGTGGGATGCTCCATTTGCCTCAGCATCGCAGCATTCATGAGCCACCTGCTACCTTAAATAGGTATGTAGAAAACACATTTAAAGCT